TGAGGGGGCTGTGAGGGACCTGAGGGGACCATGAGGGGTCTGAGGAGGCTGTGAGGCATCTGAGGCGGTCGTGAGGGGCTTTGAGGGACTGTGAGGGACTAAGGGAGCCGTGAGGGGCTGAGGGAACCATGAGAGACCTGAGAGGGCCGTGAGGGACCTGACAGGGCTGTAAGGGGACCTGAGGGGTCCGTGAGGAATGTGAGAGAGCCGTGAGGGACCTGAGGGGTTCAGAGGGAGCAGTGAGGCGCTTAGGGGGCTGTGAGGGGGCTGTAAGGGGCCCTGACCCCCTGTGCTGTCCCAAGGCCTGCAGCTGTAAGAAGCCGGCGCTGGGGGCCGCTCCCCAGAGGAAGAAGGCGAGTCCCAAAGCAGAGCTGTCCGAGGAGCAGCAGCGGGAGATCCGCGAGGCTTTCGAGCTCTTCCACGCCGACGGCAGCGACAGCATCGATGTCAAGGAGCTCAAGGTGCGGCTGGAAGCACAGGACTGCCGGTATTAGAAACCGAAATCACCTCCGACAGCACACGACTTCCCTGCTTTCCCCCTCCTCCTCCTCCCAGCATAAAAACCGGCTTGGTAAAAGGGCACATTACTGCAGCTCTTTCCTGCTGTTCTCAGGTGTGTTTGGGGCCAGGCTGCCCAAAATTCATGGAGAGCTCTGTGTTTTCTGTCCTGACTCGTGCTCTGTCAGTAAAACATCAAAAAAAGGGTTTGTTCACATTAAAAAGGTGCTCTTGTCTTGCTGAGGATTTCATGCTTCTCTTCCTTCTCCTCCTCCTTCTCCCCCTTCTCCTTCCTCCTTCTTCTTCCTTCCTCAAAAAAAGGGTTTGTGCACAATTCAAAGGTGTTTTTCCCTCTTTTTGAGGATTTCATGCTGCTTCTGCTTATTATTAAAACCTCAAAAAACGGTTTGTGCACTTTTAAAAGGTGTTTTTCCCCTCTTGTTGAGGATTTCACTTTATTTGTTTATTAAAGTATCCCAGCTGAGGAATCCACCAATGTCATTCATTTTCCTGCTTTTATTCATTGCAAACCCCTTTTGGTCCACCCTCTTCTTTTGGGAAGAAGAGTCATCAATAAACCAGGACTTATTTTGCTTCCAGGAGTTGTCCCTCTCATTTCCTACCTGGATTTCCGTGTTCCCTAAGACCACAGGGAGCAGATCTGTTTTCAAACCTGCCTCTTGTCTCTTTAACAAAGGAGGGAAATGTTCCCCCAACAGTCATTGAAAGAGATTTTTATCACTGGAGTGAAAAATGAGCTGATTATACAACCAAAATAGGGGAGTTAAGAGCAGCAAATAATCCAAATTTTCTCGGTGCAAACATTTCTCCCAAGACTCTGATACGGCCAAATCCCAAATCCCTCCCTCTCCTGAGCTGGGGCAAAAGCGTGTCTAGGAAATTCCTGAATTAACTGAAGGACAATTCCAGAACAGGAATGTTTCTATCCCTGTTTTCTGCATCCTGATGTGCCCCTGTTTTCCCTCAGACACGGAATGTTGTGACGTGATGTGGCAGAAGTTCACCTGTTTTTTATTCCCTCCCCCGTGGCTTTGTTGATAATTTTGTTGGGTTTGTAACTGATTTTGTGGGATTTATGACTGATTTTGTCCTTCCAGGTGGCCATGAGGGCCCTGGGCTTTGAACCTAAAAAAGAAGAGATCAAGAAAATGATCTCAGACATCGACAAGGAAGGGACGGGAAAGATCAGCTTTGATGACTTCTTGGCAGTGATGACCCAGAAAATGGTATGGAAGTGGTAAAAATCAAATTAAAGGCAGTTTTAATGTGTGATTCATCTCCTTTTGGGTTTAGGGGGAGATTAAGGCACTATTTAATCTTAACTAATTATATGAAAGTTGGATTCTGTCTCATTTTTCAAGGACAAACATCTTGGAATCTGTCTCATTTTTCAAGGAAAGGTTGAAATAACACTATCATTCCTAACTTCCTTTAACAATCAGGGGGGGTTTTTTTGAGTGTGAGAAAAGGGAAAACCTGCTTTTCTCCCAGAAAACTCCAGGCTTTTCTCCCAGATCCAATGCAGCTGTGGAGCTGTTGGAGTGTTTTTCTCTGCGGGGATATTTTCTCTTCTTGAGTTCTAATTTACTTACAGATTAAATCTCTGGGTTTAAAAATCTTCAAATATGTTGAGTAAAACCAAGATCCTCGTGGTGAAATCCCAAAGACATCTGGCTGGCTAGGACAGAGGAAAAATTCCCTGGAATTCTGGCTGTGTCTCTGTCTCCCTTCAGCCTTTCTGTGTAATTCCTGCTGACTGGGACTCCTCTAAATTTACTCTTAAGGGTTTCTCAGTCTATCAGATCTTTTATAACTTTATTTGGAGTGTTCCCTACGACACAATTCCCCCTTGTTTTTCCTTTCCAACTTCCTTCTTCTTCCTCTTTTAAGGCTGAAAAAGACTCCAAAGAGGAAATTCTCAAGGCCTTCAAACTCTTCGACGACGACGAAACCGGCAGAATCTCCTTCCGAAACCTCAAACGTGTGGCCAAAGAACTGGGGGAAAACCTCACAGATGAGGAGCTGCAGGTTTGTACCTGGGGAGGGAGGGAAGTGGGATCTTCGTGCTGGAGCTGTAGGAAAATCCCCTTTTTCCCCGGTAGGAATGGAAGAGTTTGTGTCCAGCGGTGGATTTTGAGGTTGAGCCCACACGGTTCAAATGGCAGCAGTAGAATTGCAGCTTTCTGAGAGTGATGGAAAGGGAATAACTCTGCTCCCAGCGCTTTGTTTCTCCCAGGAAATTTCCTGTCATATTTTTTGAGACAGATTTCTGCATAAATATATTTAGAAAAACAAATTAATGTCTGGTCGGGGAAATATTTTGTCTTGACATTGAGGGAACACCGTCCCCTCCGCTTTTAGTACAACTTACCAAAAACTGGTTCTAATCCTGCTGAATCCAATCATTCCAATCCACACCTGATTCCTGCTCCCCAATCTCTTCCAGGGGATGATCGATGAGGCAGACAGAGATGGGGATGGGGAAGTGGACGAGCAGGAATTCCTGCGGATCATGAAGAAGACCAGCCTGTACTGAAGCACAATTGGATTTATTCCTTTGCACACATTGTGTGGATGCCTCATTTTTTCCCCCCCAGTCCTTTCTTTGTTTTGACTCAGCATAAAAAAAACAGGCCAGTTTTGTTCCAAGTGGATGGTTTCAAAGGTGTTTGTGAGCAGTTCCCCACCCTGTTCACCTGCTGGTTGCTGCTTTGTGCTTGGGAGATGTTTACGCTGCTTTCAGTGCACAAATCACATTTTTGGGGCAGGATTCAGATCCTTTTCTGACCAAAAAAAAAAAAAAATCTGTCAAACCATTCTAGTTTGGTAAAGAGAGAACTCAAAAGCAGCCAGGGTCAATCTCTGTTCCCCAGCAGTTGGGAGTTTGGGCCCAGTGAACTCTTTGTATTTGCAGGGATCAACTTTTTATAACGTGTTTTATGGGGATTATCTCCTCCCCCCTTTTCAGGATGTTCTTTAAACTCAAAACAAAGTAAATAAATTGTTGCAGTTTAACTCGTGTCCAGTTCACGTGCTCAAAGAACCCCCTTTGCCAAAGCAAAAGTGCCAGAGCTGAGAGCTCCCTGTGTTTGCAGGAGTGTTCAGTGGCTGCAAATGTGATTGTGTTTAAAATAAAGTGTCTTATTTTCAGTTGTGCGAAGAGTTTTGATCCCCACTCTGCAAAAAAAAAAAACGATGTGGAGAAGGTGATCCAGGTCCTGGGAGGGAAAGCTGAGACAACAGGGCCTGTGCAGCCCTGGGAAAATGAGGTTTAGGGGACAATTTATCAGCATGCTCTGGTATTTAAAGGGTGGATACAAAGGAGATGGAAACTCCCTCTGCAGGAGGGGTCCGTGGAAAAGATGGGGGTAATGGGTACAGGTTGTTCCTGGGGAGATTCCCAATGGACACAAGGACAATTTTCATGATGAGAACAATCAGCTGTGGGAACAGTCTGCCCGGGGAAGTGCTGGATGGCCCAGCTTTGGAGAGTTTTAAGATCCAGCTGGGCCAGCTCAGCCTTGAGGTCCTGCCAACCTGGAATTCTCTGGTTCTGTTTATACCAGAGAAGAATTCCTCCTCTTCCCACCAGACCTGGATACTGATACTGAATTGGATTTTTTCCTGTATGGTTTTTCCCCCTCCCTGGCCCACCAGTGGCACTGAGAGCACATCCTGATCCAGAGGGAAAGGAGAACCAGCAGCAGAGTTCAGCCCACGGAAAACCAGCAGGTTTTATTTGGGAGCAGAACCACGTTCCTTCCTTTTGCCACAATTCACCTGTTCCGGGAGCTGGGGGTTGGGGGGACTGAACTGGAGCCCTGGGGAAACCTGGCATGGCCTTGAGCTGGAGCAGGGCAGGGTTAGATGGGATATTGGGAAGGAATTGTTGGCTGTGAGGGTGGGGAGGCCCTGGCACAGGTTGCCCAGAGAAGCTGTGGCTGCCCCATCCCTGGGAGTGTCCAAGACCAGGCTGGAGCAACCTGGGCTAGTGGGAGGTGTCCCTGCCCATGGATGAGGTGGGCTTTGAGGTCCCTCCCAACCCAAACCATTCCATGACTCTGTGCCAGCTCAGGGTGTGCCCACACCCCCCTTCCTGCCAGTTTGCCGTGGCAGAACACCACAACTCCAGACTGTCCCTCCTCACAGCCACCGGCGGTCCGGGAAGGGCAGGGAGGGGGCAGAACTCCAGTTGGGGGCCACTTTTCCTGGTGACACGTGGGTGTAAGAGGGGAAGGAGCTGATCTTCCTGGCCTTCAGGCAAGCCTGACCACTTCCTTGACCATGTTGCCGATGCCGTCGTGGATCTCATGGATGGGGGCGTTGCACATGAAGGCGCTGGTGGTCACCAGCCTGTTCCTGGGGTCCACGTGGATCTCGGTGACGTGGCTGTTGACGTGTTTGCAGCCCAGCTCCCGCATGGACTCGGCAGTCTTGGCATAGGGCCACCTGCAGGGGAGGAGGGGACAAACCCACCCTGAGATGAAGGCTGAGAGAGAAAAGAGATGATGGTCCCTGCTCAAAACCTGCTCAGTAGGAGCCAAATCTTCTCCTGCCACAGGAGTTTCTCCAGGCTTAGAGAACAGGGAGCACCTCCAGATTACAGCGAGTTAAAAATCTGAAGTAAAGCCAAAATAACCCTTGATGTTCCACTGCTTAACTCTGCCCATGCCAGACTTAGTGTTTATGGAATCCCAGACTGGTTTGGGTTGGGAAAGGGCTTAAAACTCATCCAGTCCCACCCCCCTGCCATGGGCAGGGACACCTCCCACCAGCCCAGGTTGCTCCAAGCCCCGTCCAACCTGGCCTTGGACACTTCCAGGGATGGGGTAACCACAGCTGCTGCTCTGGGCAACAATTAGGTTTAGGTTTGGGGTTTTTGGGAGGATTCAGCCACAGCTTTCCTGTAGGACTGAGGACACTTTAATTCCCTCTCTTAACACTCCAAGGCTTGTGCCGCCATCCTGCTCCTACCTTGGATCTGCTTCACTTGGAGTCAGTGCTCTGGTGTCTCTCCTACCCTGGGTCCATGAGGTGCCACGTGCACAGGGGAGGCAAATATAGGACTGTATTTCAAATGAAGTGTCTCAATTTAAGCTTTACTTTAAAAAATTAAGTGTCTTATTTCCATCAGACTTGGGGAAACACAAAAATAACAATGCCAGCAAATCTGGTGCGAGGTCATTCCTTCTGATCTGCTGAGGAATGGTAAAAGTCTTCCAGGCACTTGAGGCAGGATCTGGGAGATGGCCTGGGAATACAGGACTGGCAGTCCAGCACTTCATAAAAACCCAGTCCAGCTGTGACATGGCAGATTCTCCCACAGGCTTTCTTGGAGCGTGTGGAGCTTCTCCTGTGGAACGGGGACATCTCTTCATGGTCACTCCCCAGGGTTGGAAGGGAGCTTAAAGCCCATCCAGTTCCACCCCCTGCCCTGGCTGAAAGACCTGCCCATGATCACTGTGTGGTGAGTTACCTCAATCTCCACTTAGTGATTGTTTCTTTTGGAATATAATTCCTTTGACACAGTGCACCACACTATTTTATGCTATATTTTACTCTACTAGGATTTTTTAGCTTTTGCCCTGGGTAGCAAATAATTCCGATCAAGATCTTCCCTCTCTTCATTTGTCATAATTAATAATTTGTTTTATATAAATATCTGATATAAATACCATTAAAACCTGTGGGACAACGTGATTCAACCACACCTCTATAATTCCTGAGATCTGACATCATCTCAGGCTGGGCTTGGATCCACCACCCCCGGGTCTGTCTCTGAGGAGGAAGGGGGGTGTTTCTTGGAGCTCAACAAGAGCCTTCCCTAATAAACTTCGAGCCTCCCAGTCCCCCCTGAGAGCCCCGGTGGGTCACTCACTTCTCACACTCGGTGTCGTGTCCCACTGTCACCTCACAGCCCGGGAAGAGTTTGGCTGCCAGCACTGGGGAGATGCAGCACAGCCCGATGGGCTTGTGGGCAGCGTGGAAGGCCCTCAGCACGTCCTCCACCTCCCTGCAGACGCTGCAGTTCTTGCCTTGGGTGGCCCAAGTGCTCAGGTTTTTGGCCACTCCAAAGCCACCTGAGAGACGAGGAAGAGACGAGGAAGAGACGAGGAAGAGACGAGGAAGA